TCAGTGGGTGAGAAGTGACACCACCAGTTTTATCAATTCCAGAAACTGCACGTTTAGCTGGCACTGGAACCTTTTTAGCCATTTTCTACAGAATTAATAAGCCCATCAGTGTTATTGAGAGGGACAAAAACATTTATAACCTCTGCAGAGATCATCTACATGGTTATGCCACCAAATCACACATAAGCCATGCCATCTCAAAAGCCCATGTTTTGTCATTATTACAGTTCAAATGAGTGAAAGTGAAATGTATAACCAAAGAGTAGTAAATTGCTAAAATCTAAGATGTAAGGTGAAACATTCTGAAGTAGAGTTTCTTCACCTCCATGTGCAAAGCTTTTATCTCAGAATACTGCTTCCTTAGCTCTGGATTGTTTGGATCAAGACTGATGGCAAATTCAGCATCTATACACATAATTGGTGTACAATACAGGTCAATATTCAGAAAGTAGAAATAGATTAAAAAAGATAAAGACAGAAGGGCTATATCATGGAATACCATCCATTGCCTCCTTAAGCTTCCCAAGTTCTTTTCGTGCAGTAATTCGGCGTGAGTATGCTTTAATATAGCGATCATCCAAATTCAGAGCTTCAGTGCAATCGTCCTCTGCCTCCTTGAATCTGATGAATTTCACATCTATAATATAAGACTTCACCAGAAATAAGCTCTTGGAACCATAACTTCGAGGTTCCACAGGACACGACAGATAGGTAAAAATGTATCATAAATAGCACCGATAGCAAGAACCAAGAATACAGAAAATATGTGTTATTCAGCAGTCGTAAACTGCTGGCGCCTACCAAAATATGGTTTCAGATTCAATGGAGATGGGGTACTTCCAGTAAAAGCAGAATGAAGAAACAGCAAAGGTGAAGTGAATGCATACAGATACAGTCTCAGAGTAACTTGCCTTCTTAGTTTAAGATATGCCATAGCTCTATTTGCAAATGTGACTGCTGTAGGAGACAGCCCAATACTTCTGGAGTAGCACTCAATTGCATCAGCGAACTTCTTCTGTTTGAAAAATTCATTTCCCTGGAAACAAAACACAGGAAACAACAGGTCTAGCTTCACCAAAGCTTGTTTTTGCAACAGCCTACGAAGTTGCAACAAAATGGGCCTGAGTATTCCAACCTGCTCCTTCTCAGATGTAGCATCAGGCATTGGTTCGTCGTTCAAGTAGCTTGAGTACTTCATATTGTACAGATCACGGAAACTTTTAGTGGAAGTTCCTGAAGTCCCAGTAGATCTCGCCTTATATTCCTGCAGGGGTATTTTTCACTTTTAAGCCAGAGGTTCAAAATTAGGAGTGCGAAGCTACCATGTCCAGCTCGACAAAAACGGAGTGGGCAAGGCTGCAATAGAAATTGAAGTTTCAAAGAACCAACTACAGATATAAGTTCAAATTTTGGATACAATGCCATCTCTGGCAATCACACAGGGGATAGACTCTAAGAACTACAGCTTAAAGTTGAATGGGAGTAGTCAGCAAACAAAATCTCCACATGAAAAATCTGTATTAACCCGAAACGCAAAAGGAGACAGTCAATTTATCATTGCAAATCCCCATTTGGCGCATCCACCGGATTCCAGTAGCTATCTAAACCTCTTGACTGAGAGCAAGGTATAGTCTCACACTAGTCAACTGAGGAGGGGACAGTCCATGAGTGTTCTTACCATATCGCCGCCGCCTCCTGCTCCAAAATCACAGCCCCCAAACCTTGCGGGTTTGGCCACCCAATCAGCCCCTGAAACAACCAAAAATATAAAGGAGGGCTCATATATATCTTACGAGACCTCTTAATGAAAAACGGGCCTTAAGGTCCGATCGAGAGAAAAAATATATCTTAAGAGAGGAATATCACAGAACCGCCGCACACAGAATCAAACAGGGAAAGATGAACAAGAGGAAGCATTACGTGGGCGGACGGCGGTGGTGGGTGGTGAGCGGTGGGCGGCGGACTGACGCCGATTCGGATTAGGGGAGGGCGGGGCGGTGGGCGGCGGGGGAGCAGTGCGGCTCGAGGAAGGAAGAAGAAGAAGAAGGAGAGAATAGTTCCGAGTGTTGGTACCTGTACTGCTACTGCGCGCCGATAGAGGGCTCCCACAACCACGAACGAGCCACGAGGAAGGGCGGAGGTGGAGGCGGGCTTCAGTCGCGGAGGGTCCAGAGACTAGTGGAGTCGAGCCGTCTCCCCACCCCCCCGCGGCCGTCGGGGAAGAAGAACGCTCTGCCTCTGGTTGCTTTGCTGCCTGCTGGTTGTGGGCTCAGTTTTGGGCACGTGAATTTTCAGCCCAATAACTATACAGTACCGTAGTTTGGAAATGCGTCACCTCATGAATCTTTCTTAATTCTATTTCAAATTAAAATAATTATCTGAGTAAAAAATGCAAAAAAAAACATAATCACCTCGTCAATTGAAATCGCAAGGTTCAAATTTGCCAATCAGCGAGATTTTCTCGTTCCGCCAGTTGAGATTTCCATTTTATGCGTAAGGTATAGCATATTAGAAAGATCACAAAAAATTCCATATGAACTTTGATGGAGACAAAATATATCTAATCTACAAAGGTTGACAAGATCTACAATTTTATAGCGTACAACATTTTGGTTTAAATCATCTTAGTGCCCAACTAATCAATACTAACAGGTGCTTTACGCTAAACAAATATGATTAAAACTAACAGAGGAGAAAACCGCCGCCATGGCCTTAACTTAATAGACAGGGCCGCCATCGACAAGTTAACACTCTAAATTACTATCTGACAATCAGAACAGAAGATGGTCTACCGAAAAGTTTAACTCTTCAGCAAATTCCAGCGCAGTGGCCTCTTCTGTGTGCCAAATATTTATTTTAAAAAGTTTGAAAATAGCATTAATTAGATTTATCTTCAAAAGTACTCCTCCATTTCTAAATAAATCAATTCATATAGTTGTCTTAAGTCAAACCTTTTTATGTTTTACTAAATTTATAGAAATAGCACAAATATTTATGACACCAGATGTGCACATTACGAAAATATATTTTGTGTTGCATCTAATGATATTAATTTGGTGTCATAAATATTATCGCTCTGTTCTATAAACTTGGTCAAACTTAAAAAGTTTGACTTAAGATAACTCTAAAAATTGATTTTATTCAGGGACAAATGCTACAACTTTGTTATGTTTTCACGCGCCTCATATTATTGATCAACATCTGCTGTCTTGGTGGTCATGTTAGTATCCTAAACGATAATTATTGATGATTGGAGGGAGTAATACCATTTAAATTTGTCTGAAGTCAAACTTCTTAATATGTTTTGACCATCACTAGCTAAAACATCTAATATAGATTAGCAACATAGAGTTGATGCTAGAAGTTTTTTAATTTTTAATTATTTTTTTTGTGTAAATTGCAAAAAGTATACCCTGTCCCTGCTAAATTTGAAAAATAAGCCATTGTTGTTCTCTGGTTAAAGGACTTTGAAAAGTCATACTACCGGAAAAAGATTTTAAGTAAAATTCTACTTGTTAAACGATTTTTCTTTATTTCACAAAACTCATTCTAGGTTGAAAGCGATATTGGAAGTTGTTCTTCTGTTAAATGACTTTTGTGTAATCAAACGATTTTTAATAGATAAAGAAAATTGAGAAAAATCGTTTCACAGCTAACAATTTTATACTTATAATCGTTTTCCAATAGTATGATTTAAAGTTGTTTAACCAAAAAATGATAATCGGTTATTTTCAAATTTAGCAAGGACATGGTATATTTTTGTAATTATTATAAAACATTGTAATTAAATATAAAAAATGTTGATGTTACTACTACTAGGACCATCATGTAAAATATTGCCACCATATATAACCATTTTACTTGAAATGAAGCATTTTTATATTAGTCAAAGTATAGTTTTGTCCATCGTGATTCCCTAATGGATTTACAGCTAGGATCAGATGAACTAAGCTACTATTTAGTATTAGGGTGTGTTTAGCTTCCAAATTTTTTTTGCCTCCTACAGTAAAAGAGCATGTTTGGACACATGCATGGAGTACTAAATACAGACGAAAAAAAACTAATTGCATAGTTCTCGGCAAAATCGCGAGACGAATCTTTTAAGTCTAATTAGTCCATAAAAAACCTTAAATGCTACAGTGACCCACATATGCTAATGACAGATTAATTAGTATCATTAGATTCGTCTCGCAATTTCCTAATGGGTTCTGTAATTTATTTTTTTATTAGTATCCAAAAACCCTCCCGACATCCTTCCGACACATCCGATGTGACACCAAAAATTTTCACCTCCCCAACTAAACCCACCCTTAGTGTTTTCCTCTTTTTCCTATATTGAATGAAAATGGAAATTTAAGAAAACCTGGATTGTGCCCTGCCATTCCTATGGGGAGTACACACGATCAATTTATATAGCTAAACAAAGCTGAAATAATAGCACTGTGGCATACATTTGGGGGAAACTATGGCATGTTCGGCTGGTATTAAAGCCGGCTGATAAGCCGGTCTTGGCTGATTTATTGTGAGAGAAAAATACTGTAAATTCTAGTTGATAAGTTATAACTCAACTATGGAACAGGAGACCAGCTAGAACATCGCAACACAATAGCCTAACTTATGGTTCTAATCTCCCAGAATAATGGGTGTACCACCTCCTGTTTAAACAAGCGATCGCATCCACCTATAAACCTAAGAAGCATATGCACAGAAATTGAAAATGGCAAGTTGGCAATGCACAAAACGGGAAATAACGCCCGGACACAACACACAATTGACTGAATCACAGTAACATGGAAACACAAGACAGGATCTATGACAACATGGACGAACTAGCAAGACTCTTATTTATCACAGCTGCCTCCTAATTCGCCAAGGTAAAGATCGAGGGAGGACGACATGTTCCTTTCCCACGACATCTCTTTGCTTACAGTTTTCCTCAAACAAGAGCTCCATGGGTGCTGGAGGTCAGAGGAGAAAACAGAACCAACATGAATTGTTGGTCAACCATCTTTGCTTGATGACTCGTATATCACATCCATGTAGGTCTGCACTGTGGGCATGTCTAGGCCAGGGAACCTGTGATGGGCTTCAGGGCGGAACTCAATCTTGATGAATGGCCATTTCATGACATGTGCAGCAGTGCACTCTTCGTGCCCGTCACCGATTGCACAGAAGCGGACATTTGGACCATCGAAGCGCTCCTCGATCCATTTGAAGCACTGCAGCTTCCCCACTTCCCATGAGCTGTAAACTGCAAAACACAAGCAAACTGTTATTGCCAACTTCATCTATTTGTTTACAGCTAACCTCATGGACTTTATGTATGGTCTGATTCAAATAATGCAATTAGCAGATAGATTAGTAATGTTGGTTGCCATGGATAACATTTTGTCAAACAGAGAGCCAATATCACTAATCTGATTCATGGCTTCCAAATGCCATATAGAACAGAAAGTAAGTGCTTAAAGGGAAAATTGGAGACATTAGCATGCCATTCTCAGACGAGACCACATCATCCAGGTGATACAGCAAACATTTGGCAAGGCTTGGAATCAGTGACCCTGATGTAACTATGCAATTGATGCTTGAAGAGTTGGCAGTAGGTGCTGATGCTGATTTGCCCAATGCTTCTTCCAATAACTTATGAGCTGCATAAAGATAATAATGTTCAAGAATCTAACGATAAAAAAGATAAGACTTAAATTAAGTGCAGATACTAGTCCACAAATTTCAGTAGGTTTATGAACGCAACCACAAGCCAAGCTAAATCTACAGTTCAGTGTTTAGACCACCCTTTTTATTGGTAGGGAAAAAGCTATTGGGCTAACAAGCGTGTCAGCAGGGGAGAAAGCTGTGACCAAGGTAGGAGACAGCATGCGTGCAAGGATTACACTAAGAAATCGATATGCTGGATTGGTTGTCAAGCATCAATTCAACTCTTAACACCATGGACCCTCCATAGCAGTCCAAGTACTTCATGTGTACAGACTAATGGGGAAAAAACAATAGATAAATTCTTCAGTTCGCTAATGGAAGCAACAATCTCCAGTAAGCTGGACACATATTGTAAAACAGATGAGGGCTATATTCATACTATATTATTATGTAATACTAAGTTCTGGAAGATTGTCCACAGTTGTAAGCTCTTATAGCTTAGATGATACTAGCTCATATTTGGTTTCATCAACAAAACTGAAAGACCTACTTTTCTCCACTAACTCTAATTAGAAAATCAGAAGCACATCGTTTTAGAGATGAAATAAGAAATATTCCTATTGTCAACATAAAAAAATAATTAAAAATAATTAAAAAAAACTAGTTCAAATGAGAATACCTGAAGACAGCCAGCCATCGGTATATTTGTCAGTCAAACTGTACTGATCATTGCAGACTTTGACCATATGTTGGTCCAGAATCTTTTCCAAGCCCTGGAAGCACAAAAATAGCCCAATTTAGCAATCACAGACATCCCATTGATAAAAGTACGAAAGCAATAGAATGACATAAGAACAATACAAAAGCAACAGAAAGGTTCTTATCTGATAATAATGTTGCTCTGAAAATATTTCCAGTACTGAATTTTTCGGATCCAATTACTTACTGTTACTAAACTATTTTTTTCTAAAACCATCCTCACAGAAGGGCCTTTCAGCAATGCATGCTGCCCCAGTGAATTCTGTGGAAGGGAACCTTCATATGTTTAGGAGATCAAGCTAGAAAGTTCAGCTGCCCCTAATACTGTAATCTACAAGATGGCAGACTTTTTTCTGACATATTTCCTGGCTTCCAGCTTGATATAAGATTATACTCGAACCCCATTTGGCACAGTGTAGCAACTCATAAGTATACAGACAAGTGCATATATATTACATAGAAAACACGAACTCTTCTTACCAATAGGCACGCATCTAATTAAATAGGATGTACATTTCATTCTCAAGAAATTAAATGAGAGTTACAGTAGTTCACTACAAGAGTGATCTGAGCACTGCATCCCGCTATATATTTACAAGGTTAGCTCTTGAATACATTCATAGAGTTCCTGTTGCAAGGTTGTCATGTAACTTTCCATATCAAGTAGAAATGCAATAACATGGACACCATAAAGAGAAAAACAGATACCAAGCTGAATCATCTTATGAAGGAAACCCTTTAAAGAAAATATTGCGAGATAAGGTAATTCTTGTGACAAACTGACACCTTTGCATATTTCTCTCCAATAGCACGATGCCTATAAGCAAGCTTCTTTTTGTTCGCATCATCATAGGGAGAACTAAAACAGTCAGCCTCAAAATCATATGAGGTCAAGTCTCTCCCATCATCATATTCATTCAAAGCATTGAGATAGGGTTCATTGTAGTTCTCAATCTGCATTAGTGTGAAAACAACCAGGTCAGTTAAAAAAAGGGGGGCAGACCCAGTGCCGGAGGCTCCCACATGAGTGGGGTCTGGGGAAGGGAAAAACCGAGGCAAGCCTTCCCCCCGCAAAATCTGCGGAGAGGCTGCTTCGAACCCGCGACCTGGTGACTCAGTGAGAGCTCTCACCACTGCACCAGGCCTGCCCTTCAGTGTGAAAACGACCAGGTTAGTTGAAAAAAAAAATAAAGAGATGAGCATAATAAAGAGAAACAGCATTTCCAAAAAAAAAGGCAGCTAAATGACTTGTGCAGAACAGTGAAGGAAACAATAGGCAGTAACTTTTTTTTTTGAGGAAACAATAGGCAGTAACTGAGCAAGCAAGCTAGATGAATGATGTGAAGTACAATTTCATGGAAAATTTCATCTACAGGAAAAATGGAAGTAGCTTTCAAAGGGATAATCCTAACAAAATTGTGTACAATTTTGATATGTAGTTCTGGAAAATATAAATGGCATACCATTTGTTCATGATCTAGTAGGTAGTTAGCATGTATGGCAGTACCGAGTTTAGGTGCTAACTGACCTCCTCATAAAAGAAGTGCTCATCACAAAGTTCAAGAATGAGGTTCTCCCATCGCTTCCCTATTTCAGTACTTTTCTCACGATCCTTGAGGCCGTCAAAAGCCCCAGCATATGAGCCATCCAGAAGTGACTTGAGCAAAATGAGTGTCTCATCCATGTCCCATATGTACACATTCACAGGCTGCTTCGTCACGGCATCAGTTGAAGCTTGGCCGGTAGCCAAAGCAGGAACAGCTTCGTCCATTTCGCTCCTATTAAAAGACCAGACACATCATGCTGGAATCCAAAATTACAGGCAACTACCTAAAATCACATTATTTCAATTTGGCATATCATGAAAACATGTCCCTGACGGTTACAAAATTACTATTTGTGCACAACATATTATTGCCAGAACATGATATGAGGTGGCATATCTGATAACGGAACTCCGAAAGAAAAGCGATACACAAACCAACCAAAATCAAGGAGGAGATTCTATTTGTCTAGCACTCTATGCAACGATAATTCGTTCTTAGACATATGACAAGACCCGCCTAATATGACAGCATGATAAATGGGCTTCCCTGACAGATACTAACTGATCCGGTCTACTGAATCCCTCCACCCAATTGGCAGCGACCGTGTGCTCCTGACAGCTACAGAATCTACTATTTGTGCACGGCATATTATTGCAAGAACATGATATGGGGCATCGTATCTGATCCTGAAACTCCAAAACCAAAAACGATACACGAGCCCGACAAAAATCAGGAAGGGGCACTTTAACTGTCGGAACATAAGGATGATTCATTTGTCAGCCTAATTCGACAGCATGATAGATTGGATTCGTTGACAGTTACTAACTGATCCGGTGTACCGAACCCCCCACCGAATAGGTGGCGATCGCGTGTGGACTGCCCGCTTCCCTCCATACCCCCAATTGTCCATTCTAGTCCACATGTCACCACAGAAACATCTGTGGTTGGTTCAGAAACATCTGCAGCTGGTTGTGACGCTACAGATGCCATGGCTGAGAAGTAGACTGTCTGAGAACAGGGCGTGGAACATGTACACCCGATTTTTTTTTAAAAGAATCAAAGTTAGTAGGCATAACACATGTATATACTTTGTAATCAGATGAGATCCAAATACAAATAACCACATACTAGCTTACATTAGGGTTTGGGAGCTCAGTTTCGCACAGCGGATAGGGAAGAGAAGGGGTGGGCATACCTGATGGGTGCTCGTCGCTGGCGAAGTGGCCGACGAAGACCTGGCGAAGGGGAAGGGCTCAACGAAGACCTGGGCACCTGGCGCAGGGATGCGGCAGTGCTTGCCCAGTCGTCGCCGTCAGCAAGAAAGGCGGCGGGAGAGAGAGAGAGAGCGCGCCTAGTCGAGAGGCCGGCGGTGATGACTGATGAGACACAGCGAAGTGAGAAGGAGATGCGAATTCGGGAGATAAATCAGTCAGAGGATGGGGAGGATGAAGATGAACAGCAGCTGCTGCTCTGCTGCTGACGGGAAAGGCAGTTCGTTGCGTTGGAACAAACCTTTTTTTGGTTTTGGTTTTTGGGCAAAAATCCAAACTTTGCCTCGTAAATTCACCACCCCTTTTTCATTTTGCTTTGCCCGTAACGTACCGGCGGAATACAAGAAAGCTCTAGCTGAGTAGCTGGCGACGGCGACTAGCTTGCCACATCATCCAGCATCCATCCAAAGGTTTAAAAGCTCCTTTTGCAACTGTTTATTATTGCAAGGGCACAAGGGAATCTCATGTACTCGGTACCGTAGTAAAGTGCTCCTCACCTCCTATATTCTTCTGTTCCTCTATGGGTGCGTTTGGACTGAAGAATCAGTTTATCTTCTTATGTCCATAGATGAGTGTGAACGCTTTATTTATTCGAGAGAACTATGCCATAACGAGTATGTCTACTAGCGTCGATTGTCGAGCACCGTGTCACGGCAGCAAGCTTAAGAGTTTTTTTTATCATTCTTAATTCTTTCTAAATCATTAGTTAAAAATAACATCACAAAGGTCTTTAAAGCCATTATATGTTGCGACAGGTTTGTCATAGTGGCCTTAGTTGGAGATGACCATCATCTTGGATTATAAGCAACCTTATCTTAGTAGCCATGCCATGACGCAGGTCTTCTTTATCGCTTTTTCTCTTCATCCCCCTCCCGCCACATATGTAAGAGGTTTGTAAAACAACTTTCTATTTTGATTGTTTAGCAAAGAGGGAAAGGTGCCTTTTAATAGTTTGATTTGGTAAAATGGCTCCTTAAAAATAAAATGTTGACAAATATCCTCTCCAACTTATAAGTTTCCACAGTAGAGAGAAACTCCATACTACTCCCCATCCGGCGTTTTTCTTGGGAGATCGGAGTAGATTGGACGCATGAGTAAATTAAGAAAATAAAGGATTTCAGATGAGAAAGCGGTAAGAGACAAAGAAACTATTAAAAAGATTTGGTTGGTTAGAAATAGGTTGGGGTAATGCAAAATCGTTTAGGAATGTCATTATTGGGAGACTTTTGGGCAAGGGAACAAAATTGGAGGTCACTATTTCTTCTATTAACTTGTTAGATCTATTATGGCCCTATTCGTTTATCTTATAATCCATCTTTTTCAGCTTGTTTTTTCAGCCGAAACAATATTTCTCTCTCACAACAAATCAGCCGAAACAGTGTTTTGGCTTGTTTTTTCAGCGAAGCGAACTGGGCATGTATATTAGTTTAGCAAGCAAACTAACCCAACTCCTGGAGATGCTCTAGGCTCCTCAGTGGTTGGATTCTAGGCCAAATCCATTAAAAGAGGAAAAATGGATCCCCCCGAGCTTGAGCAGTATATCCCCTTGATTATGTGATTATTTGTTGTATTTGGTAGTTTAGAAAATAAACTATTTCACCTAAATTTAGGCTATTATATAGATTTTTGCAGCAATGGAAGTATGATTAGTTGGATTGTGATCTTAGTTTTGGTGGTATTTACGTTCTGCCCACAATGTTCACATGTAGAAACAGTTGCATTCTCCTTGTACATCAGATTGGTGTAACATGTCTAGTGTTGGTATGTTAGGGAGTGACTGGTTTTAGGACTAGGCAAGCCTGGCTTGCATCTACTAGCCAAACTGGCCACGGATAGGCTAGGTTCATACAGAGACACAAGTATTTGGTCGACTGAATTAGAATATATACAGGTTGAGCTTAATCACTTGTTTGCTAGGTTGGATTAACTAGATACGTGATCTAGAAATAGAAAGGATGAGTTATTATGTGAAAAAGAATGATTTTTCCTGCATTGTGGTTACACAAGAATGTTTCTTGGTTGATTGAATTTTGGCCTACATTCTAATGGTTACGATCTAAACACGCCCATAATGTTCTTTTTACAAAACATTACCTAAACATACTCAAATATGGGTTTGTTTGAAATTATTTATTGTAGAAACAACAATAGTGCAATCTGAGTTTGATTTGGATAAAAACTATAGTTTCTAAAAATTTCATGCAAACACGGTGACGTGAGTAAATCCCAAACCACATTCATGCGCTAGCCTGAGTATATAGACGAGCAGGGGCAGGGGCGCGGGGGGACAGTATTTTCTTCTCACACCAAATTAGTACCAGCCGAATTTATCAGCCAAAAACCAACCAACGAACAGAGAGGGACAACAGTGTTTTTCTCTCATATCAAATTAGTACCAGCCGAACTTATCAGCCAAAAACCAACCAGCAAACATTAAACGTGTCTGGGACTGGTCGGGCTCAGCTTTCGGCCTTGCGCTATTACAGATGGGCCACAGCTTTCCTACCCATCAATCGGCGGCACGGTGGCGGTGACAGGTGAGGTGAGGGCCGGTGCGCGTGGCGGAGCGGTGGTGCGACGCCGTCCACACGAAACAGAGCAGCTAGCCGCCGCCCGCCGCAACGCGGGGAGACACCCACGAGTCCACGACGCCAAGTGTGCTAGCGATATGGATCGGAGCTGCACTGCACGTGCCACGCCACGCGTATAGATTAGGCGGCCGGCCGGCCGGCCGGTGGGTGGTTGCCATAATCCCACTGCCACCCAATGTCAGCGCCGCCGCGGTCACTACTCATCTGCTACTCCTAGTATACTTATCCAGATTAATCAATAATTGCTTTAATAACAATATAACATGGAGACTAACGCAGGGAAAAAAGTACGGAAACAAAATAAACACACTTTATCACTGTAATAACCTTGCTCTTATAATTGGTGGAGGATGTCACAGGAACCTTGTTTGGAAAACTAGTACTATCACATGATGCGTACCAAACAGTTTAAAAAAAGGATTTGCTAGCGTTCGATCCGGAGCGCTAGCGTCGGATGGTGCTTCCACGCACACATGTAGATTCGCAACACAAGATCTACTTTTACAACATGTAGATGAAATATTTACAACAAACGTCTAAAATATATGAAACACTAAAAACATGCGTGTATAGCAATTGCAACATGTGCAACGCCAATATTTATTTTTGAAACATCCAGATGAAATATTTGCAACATACATTTGAAACACCTAGAACACTTGAAACATAGCCTTACAACATTTTATCATTGCAACACATGCAACATTCCAGATCTACTTTTTGCAACATCTAGATAAAACACTTGAAACAAAAGTATGAAATGTCTAAAAACACCTGAAACACAGCATTCACCGCGCAGGCACGACCTACCTAATGGTGAACCGTGGGTAGATCGGTGAGGAGGATAGGGAGTGGATGGAGACCGCCCTGGTGGGGGCGCTGGAGTGGCAACGACGAGGCCTAGCCAAGCAGGGGGTCGAGGAGGGCTGCCACCCAGAGGGGCCCCGTGAGGAGCGCCGTCTCCTAGGCCACCCTGACGTCGTGGGCTGCTCTAGCACCCTCGCCATCACCGACAACACGTACCCCACCGGAGTTGGCTGGCTGGGCTACGATGGGGGGCAACGCGGTATTGTGTGTTTAGGGGGGAGGAGAGGAGGCGCGGGGCGTGGCGTAGGGTGGAGCACAGTCCAGGAATGGGGAGCCAAGCGTCGCAGGCGGATGCGCGCGTCGTGGGAGGGAGCGAGCGGTAGGGAAAGGCGGCAGCAGTGAGGCGGAGTGTGGGCGCGGCGGTGATTTAAGAATGGGTGCAGTCACGACAACGATTCGAGAGGAAAGGGGAGCTGAGATTTTGTGACAGAACCGTCCGAAATAAGACGCTTTCGGAGGTGCTCGTCTTCCGCTAGACACTAAGCACTCCGAAAGTTAGCTACGTCGGACAGTTCCGTCAAGCACACCCCAAGGGAGAACTCGAAACAATCCACGTTTTACATCCAAAATCCAATAATAAGTACGAGTTTACAATACTTAGTCCCTTTCATACAACAAGAGTTCTTGAAAATTATTTATTACAATACCAGAGTTCAGAGTGCGATAATTAAACAGCGGAATTAAAATAAATGTCTAACAAAAATGATACAAGGATCCATCTGTGCCCACCAGAAGAATCCTCCACACAAGAGCTGCTCCTCAAGCTGCACCTGCAATAGGGGTAAATAAAATCTGAGTACACAATGTACTCGTAAGACTTACCCGACTAGTGGGAATAGTTTCTCGACTCCAAGGGTATGATAGCCAGTAAGGTTTGCTGTTTTCTTTTTGTTTGCAGAAAGCATTACTAATAGTTCATTCTTATAGTCAATTTTTATTATCAGTCATGATTACTTCATTAGCTAACCATTTTAGGTAAGCACTTGTTCTACTTTCAAGCAAGGGTTGAGCAATCAGAACCCTTTCACCATCTTTCATCTTCAGTTCTTACTACGGTGCTAGACCATAGCCAAGTCGTACCATCTCACGAAAACGGTGATTCGTGAACCAATGTATCCCAGTTTGATACCCCAAAACACATGTCCCGTTTGTATCTTAGGCACAAACAAGACCAACCCATTCCACTCCTGTCACGGGGTCCAGGTCTCTGTCCAAACTTGGTCTCTAAGCCCCCACACTTGAGACCTGGTCTCAACATGGT